GGTAGCAGTCCAGTTTTGCCAGCACTATTTGTTGAAGAGGTTGTCATTTCCCCATGAGATAGATTTTGTTTCCTTGTCGAATATCAGTTGATCATAGATAGATGGGTTAATTTCCGGGTTTTCAATTCTGTTCCATTGGTCTATGTGTCTGTCCTTGAACCAGTACCAGGCGGTTTTGGTAGGTTTTTGAGGTCAGGGAGAGCGTTGCCTCCCACTTCATTTTTGTCTTTTAGAAGTGGTTTGATTATTTGGGGTTTCTTTCCCTTCCAAATAAACTTGACAACTGTCTTTTGATCTCTTTTAAAAATGAATTTGGTATCTGTACTGGGATTGTGTTAAACATGTAGATTGCTTTGGGTTGGATTGTCATTTTCACTATTTTGAGTCTTCCTATTAATGAACAAGGAATGTTTTCCCATTTAGGTCTTCTGTTCTTGAGTGTTTTGTAGTTTTCTTTGTAAATATCTTTTGTATCTCTCATTAGATTTATTCCTTAATATCTCAACTTGTGATTGGCTATTGTAAATGGTATTGCTTTCTTGGTTTCATTCTCTGTATTTTGTTACTGTAGAAGAATCCCACTGATTTTTGGGTTTTGATCTTGTATCCTCCCACTCTACTAAACTCGTCTACTAGCCCTAACAGTTTTGTTTGTTGTGTTGAGTCTCTTGGGGGGTTTTCTGTGTACATTATCATATCATCTGCATATAGTGACAGTTTAACTGCCTCTTTGCAGATCCGGATGCCTTTTATTTCCTTCTCTTGATGTATTGCCTTAGCAAGCACTTTTAGTACAAATTGAGTAGGAGTGGTGACAGTGGGCATCCTTGTCTCGTCCCTCTTTGCAAAGAGAATGTTTTTATTCTTTCTCCATTGAGAATGATAATGGCTTTTGGTTTTGCATATATACTTTACACAATGTTGAGGAAATTCCCTTCTATTCCTATTTTGCTGAGTGTCTTAATCAAGTAGGGATGTTGGATTTTGTTGAAAGCCTTTTCTACATCAATTGCTAGGATCATGTGGTTCTTGTTATTTGCTTTGTTAATGTGATGAATTACATTGATCTTTTTTCTTATGTTGAACCACCCTTGAATACCTCTTATGAATCCCACTTGATCATGATTATATTTATTCGATGTGCTTTTGGATTCTATTTCCAGGATTTTGTTAAGTATTTTTGGTTCCATACTCAGGAGAGATATTAGTCTCTAGTTTTATTCTTTGGAGACTTCTGCCTGGTTTGGTATTAGGGTTATATTTACTTCATAGAATGACTCTGGAAGTATTTCTTCCTCTATTTTTTGAAATAATTTAAGTAGAATTGGTGATAGATCTTCTCGATTGTTTGATAGAATTCAGCTGTGAAGTAAATTGTCTTTCTTTAGCCATTGCATTTGCTCTCTCTGGTAACCAGCTACCTTAAATACAGACACATGTTCTTGTAAATCATCAAGAGCTGTGAGATTAGGATGACAAAGAGAGAGTGAGTGTCAGTGAGTATGAATGAGTGCTTCCCACACTTGCAAGCAAGACTTGAGGAAGACTCTAATGACAAGAATCTGGTGATGGTGGTGGAGAGACTGTGACACTGCTGTGGAGAAACTGTGGCAAGGTGTAACCAGAGGAGCCATAAGAGAAAGGCTGTATTTAAAGGTTTTGATATTCCTGCGGGATGACTTAAGGGGAAGCTGACTTGTAACTGCTCTGAGAGAAAACTTGCTGGACGATTTGGATTTGACTTCTGCACTGAAATCAGGACTTTCTATTTAAGGAATTGTGTTTTGATATTAATCTGTCTTAGAATTACTGGACTAGCTTTGTCCTTGTATTGTGAGATATTCTTTGTCTTGCCCACTCCCCAATCTGTTTCCCTAATAAACCCCACTTTTGGAACCACAACTGTAAATAAAGTCTGTGAGTCAACAATGAATAATTGAACCTCTTGCTGCTGGTGTGGCTCTAGAAGCCCCATGCAGCTGGGTTATGGGCTCTTTATCTGATTTGTGCTCTGGGGTGGTGAGGGCCTGTGCTATTCTCACTCCCTTTGGCCCTTTCAGAGAGAAGTTCATGTCCCTGTGCCACATATCCCATTTTCAGTTCTCTAGTCAATGACCAAAGATCAAATTGATTGTGGGATAAGATATGACAGATGAAGAAAGCAAAGGGAGATTAAAGAGTAGAAAGTGAAGAAAAAACCATGTTGGATGTCAGAAGAAACTCTGAACTCTGATTTGACTATTATTATTATTGCCGTATACCATAGAGTTGGAACCAACCCATATCTGACCCTCCAGTGGGTTTTCAGAGCAGTTAATTGCATGAGAGGAAATTGCTTATCCTTCCCTCACACAGCAGGTAGTGGCCTCAACCGGCTTCCTTTCAGGATTGCAGCGCAGCTTCTTGCCACTAAGCCACCAGAGTTCCCGTTTGTTTTGACTATAGAGTAGCTAAAAATAGAAGAAAGGACACATTAAGAGAGCAGAACAACTTAGAACAGGACATGCATAACTATTCAAATAGGGAGAGGGAAGGGAAGAAAGGGAGAAGAAAGGAGAGGCAAGGAAAAATCAAATTAGGATGGCAGAGATAAGTGGGTGAAGGACCAGGTACATCTCAGTGACGTTTTGAGAAAAGGTTTTCATCAATTGTAATTAATATTATAAAACATTAT